GTAATTTGGTAATTGAACGAGCTGAGATGGACGATATTTATTTCTGGTTTCAGGTAAAATGATCTTTTGAGAACAACTTTTAAATTCAATCCACGAAATGAGAATCAACTCATCCTACTCTTATCAATCTCCCGTTCTCTTTCCATCTACTTATAGCCTGTTTATATCTATCTCTCAGAATCTATCTATCTATCTATCTATCTATCTATCTATCTATCTATCTATCTATCTATCTGTTTCAGTCTTTTCGTATCTATCTATCTATCTATCTATCTATCTATCTATCTATCTATCTATCTATCTATCTAAGGTACATGATAATTATTAAAGTATTTGCACTACAAATATTTATTTTTTCAACATAATCTTGAAAATGCAGTGAGTTCGATGGTAGATATTAATATCTATCTATCTACCTATCTATCTATGTCTTTTCGTATCTATCTAAGTCTTTTCGTATCTAAGTCTTTTCGTATGTATGTATGTATATATGTATGTATGTATGTATCTATCTATCTATCTATCTATCTAAGCTACATGCTAATTACTTAATGATTAAAGTATTTGCACTATAAATATTTATTTTTTCAACATAATCTTGAAAATGTAGTGAATCCAATGGTAGATATTCAAATCTTGATCTATCTATCTATCTATCTATCTATCTATCTATCTATCTATCTATCTATCTAAGGTACATGATAATTATTAAAGTATTTACACTACAAATATTTATTTTTTCAGCATAATCTTGAAAATGCAGTGAGTTCGATGGTAGATATTAATATCTATCTATCTATCTATCTATCTATCTATCTATCTATCTATCATGTCTTTTCGTATCTATCTAAATCTTTTCGTAAATAATTATGTATGTATCTATCTCTATCTATCTATCTATCTAAGCTACATGCTATTACTTAATGATTAAAGTATTTACGCTATAAATATTTATTTTTTAAACATAATTTTGAAAATGCAGTGAATCTAATGGTAGATATTAAAATCTTTATCTATCTATCTATCTATCTATCTATCTATCTATCTAAGGTACATGATAATTATTAAAGTATTTACACTACAAATATTTATTTTTTCAACATAATCTTGAAAATGCAGTGAGTTCGATGGTAGATATTAATATCTATCTATCTATCTATCTATCTATCTATCTATCTATCTATTTTCGTATCTAAGTCTTTTCGTATCTATCTAAATCTTTTCGTATGTATGTATGTATGTATGTATGTATGTATCTATCTATCTATCTATCTAAGCTACATGCTATTACTTGATGATTAAAGTATTTACGCTATAAATATTTATTTTTTAAACATAATCTTGAAAATGCAGTGAATCCAATGGTAGATATTAAAATCTTTATCTATCTATCTATCTATCTATCTATCTATCTATCTATCTATCTATGTTTTCCTTTCCTCTCCTTCTTTCAAGAAGAAATATGTCCTAATTTAGCATGTAAATACACACGAGCAAACCGGATGTACATACGAACGGGTAAATTCGAATCGGTGCTGAAATGTTGTCGGCCCAATTAAGAAGACATTAAAGAATTCAGATGCTCATATCATTGTTGGGAAGTTGGTTGGGCTGAGAATTATTCGGAACTTTCTCGTATATGTATATTTGTATGGTGATATTACTGTAAAATACGACGTGTTATTTTCTCTACAGACATTGTTTTTTTTCCTCTTGAAAGAAAGAAAGTTTGCCAATTTTCAAAGACGGCGACAGAATTCACAAAAAGAACTGTTAAAACACATAAAACAAATAAATAAGAAAGTGGCAAGAATAAGAAAAGCAGAATTGGGGATGAAAATTTCAAGATTGAATGGAAATTATTGAAATAAGCGAAGATGAATGATTTCGTCGTATTAATGGGCTTCCTTCCGGTCGATATCATCGAACAAGTCACTCTGATTAATCGATATGATTATTCTGATTATTATTAACGACTTCTGCCGTTCTCAACACTCCAAACACATATGTGCGGGTTATTTAAAAAAAAAAAAAAGTAAATTTTTCATAAGAATATGAAGTCTTGGAAATATTTTACTTAGACAAATAACTCTATAAAGCTAATAATCTTGATTTTTCGCTCTATATATTTGCATGCAAATACACAGACGTGTACCGATATTTAATCAGTCTAGTAATAAAGGCTCTGCGTCTATGAACACACATACTAAATGTGCATATTAATATCTGTTTAAATCCGGACATAGAAAATACTAGTGTTGACGTTTGTATATGTATACTTATCTGAATCTGCAAATCCGGAATTTCCAGCAATCTAACATGTGTTCATGTGGCAGTGATCGGTAAAGTAGACACGTGCATATACCTGTATATTATACAATATATAATATATATATGTGTGTGTGTGTTTATATACGCTTTTAAATTAGTATATTCGCGGGGGAGGAAGAGTAGAGTAAATGTTTTTCATTGGTAAACATTCTGTCTCCTTATTAAATGTTCCTGTCTGCATTATGTGGAACAGGGAAAAAAGTTTCTTGTATAATGAATTCTTCCGATAACGAACGAAGCAGACACAACAGCGTTGGTGTTTTGCTTTTTATCACGCTTCAACTCAAACTAAAACGTACTTTTCGCATTTAACAGATTTATGAATATCCAGACCTAAATAAATATATAATATTTTCAGGATGCGGCGTCCATTAAGTTTGGGATTTGAATATGAATGCAGTTAGGATTATCATTCACTTTTGGAAATCAATAATGGAAAGGTATTGTTAATGCCAGAAAATAATTTGAAAAGAAAATCCAATTGGTTAGTTGCTAGTGTTTGAAACTCTGCGGATATGTGCAGTATGTAAAGGCTTTTTAATGTTCTTTTAAAACGACAATGCATTCCTTGTTTTGCATTGATTCTATTATGTACTCTTGTGTACCAAATTCAAATGCTGGTTTAGTAAACCAGATAAAAACGCTTTCAGAATAAAACCGCTGCTGACAATATAGATGGCAATGATGAAATGGCATCGCTTGGCGGAGGGCTTCTCAGACTAAAATCAGTGGCTACGGCGAAGAGTTTCCCACGATTGAATAAATGGCCACGTATCAAAACGTACTTCAAGTCGTAGAACACAAGCTGTGATCTGACCTGGAGATGAATGGACACCGCCAGGTCTACTCTGTACAAGACTCGCTACGGATGAAAAAATACTTCCCGGGACATGTGGAGTGAGCTGGACAGGTGCTCAGTTGCACAACGACCCTACCCTGTCATGGAACTGATGATGTTGAAAATGTTATTCATACATTTTTCTAACATTTTTTTTAAAGTAATGTTCACATTGGACAAGTTCCGGGAGCCACTCCCGGTAGAAAGTTGCAGTGTGAGAGGCACAGTTTATGCGGATATGTGGGGAAGATAACGGTTAATCCTAGACTTGAACAGGTTAAAATTGTAGTGATCGGGAAAGCAACCTCTTGGGAGTCGGTTCCACAGAACATTGGTTCGTGGGAAGAAGCTGCTCAAAGGTGGTTCGTTACAATATGCGTGGCACAGTGGATCTTAGTCGTGAATGTTAAAACTGGTGGAACTCGTCGGAACACGTTCCATGGAAATAGTGATAGAGCAGTGAGAGGCTTGCGATGTTTCGTCTGTGAGGAAAGGGGCTGTAGGGAGGAAAATAATTTGTCACTCACAAGGACGCAAAGACGCTTTTGGACGCTAACAAGACTGGAAAGTGAAGACTGCGCAGTCCATGACAGCAGTAATCCATTATAGGCATGATCTGGCTCTTGGAAAGGTAGAGGACAGCACGAGGAGTCAGGTACTTACTGGAGCCGTCTTAACTTGACATAGCTTACGGCCTCATCGCGCTGAAAAACCAGTTCTTCATCTCTATCTTAAAAGGCAGGATGTGTGTGTGTGTAACGAATGCACGGTCGCAATTTTCGACGGATTTGCACCAAAATTATTTTCCGATGTACGGGTGATTCGGTTTGCACACACCTACATATACTCACATATCTACATCACAACGTACGTTTGGATTTGATATAATTCTATACCCAGGTGAGTAAATGTAAACCTTAAAATAGGGATATCTTTTTTAAAAAGTACCTACTATAATGAAAAAAGCCTTAAACTTGATAAAAACAAGGTTTTATCGTCAAAATGTTTATGTTATTATTAAAAGGAAAGACCAACGTATTTTTTTTATTCTAGCACGTTCGAAATTTTGATTAAAAATCTTGTATTTCCTTCGTAAGCGGGAGGGCTAAGTATAGGGATTTTTAGCGTCATTTTTGACGTTAAAAACTCATTGTTTTGGAAATTCTTGCAAAAATCAAATAATTGTCGGGTTTTAATGAAATTTCCAGGACTTATTCACAAACGAATTAAATTATTTTTGACATTTTTGTTTTTTAGAAAATCTCGGTCAACATAAGTTTTTTTTTTTTTTACATCTCTTACCTCCACTTACTTAATTTTATGAAATATTAAATATACTTTAAATCAGCCAATATTCCTAAAATATAGTTTCAGAAAAGTATATTTTATTTTTGGATGATTTTTTTAATAAAGAGAATTACATTGCGATGAAAGACGACTAAAAAAAGGGCGCTAATCAGCTATTTTAGCAAAAAAAAAAACAACAAAAAAACAAAAAACCTCCTTTCAGTCAATTTAAATTAATTTCTGAAATACGGCAAAATTTAAAGCTTTAAGAAAGGTTTTTCATTATTTTAAATTTATTTTAAAGCTTTTTTCGTGGAGGTCTCTACCTTAAAATATGTACATGGTTTCATTGCTTGCAAATTAATTTTGGAAACCAGGTAACTGAGGTTTGGAGGATCTCAAGTTCACTCTAGACCTTAACCGAAACTCGTATATACGGATGATGGCTAAAAGACGCTAAAAAAAAAAAAAAAATAGTCGGTTCCACTTAACGCTCCAGAAAGTACCTGCCTCCTTTGATCATGCTCTATTTATAAGAGTCAGATCAGACCAAAAAATGAATTGTTGCTGTCATATCAAAAACTGGAGTTGAAATAAATATTGTATATATTGCAGGTGTATTTATGTACCAGACAGATAGATAGACAGACAGATAGAGAGATAATGTGAAATAGATAGACAGACAGATAATGTGAAATAGATAGGTAGATAGATAATATGAAATAGATAGATAGACAGACAGATAGAGAGATAATGTGAAATAGATAGACAGACAGATAATGTGAAATAGATAGGTAGATAGATAATATGAAATAGATAGATAGAGAGATAATGTGAAATAGATAGGTAGATAGATAATATGAAATAGACAGACAGATAGATAGATAGATAATGTGAAATAGATAGGTAGATAGATAATATGAAATAGATAGATAGAGAGATAATGTGAAATAGATAGGTAGATAGATAATATGAAATAGATAGATAGAGAGATAATGTGAAATAGATAGGTAGATAGATAATATGAAATAGACAGACAGATAGATAGATAGATAATGTGAAATAGATAGGTAGATAGATAATATGAAATAGATAGATAGAGAGATAATGTGAAATAGATAGGTAGATAGATAATATGAAATAGATAGATAGATAGATAATGTGAAATAGATGGGTAGATAGATAATATGAAATAGACAGACAGATAGATAGATGATGATGTGAAATAGATGGGTAGATAGATAATATGAAATAGATAGATAGATGAGATAATGATGGATAGATGGGTAGATAGATAATATGAAATAGATAGAGAGATAATGTGAAATAGATAGGTAGATAGATAATATGAAATAGACAGACAGATAGATAGATAGATGAATGTGAAATAGATAGGTGAAATAATATGAAATAGATAATATGAAATAATGTGAAATAGATAGATAGATAGATAATAATGAAATAGATAGGTAGATAGATAATGTGAAATAGATAGATAGATAGATAATATGAAATATAGACAGACAGATAGATGAATAGATAATGGGAAATAGATAGATAGGTAGATAGATAATATGAAATAGATAGATAGATAATGATGAATAGATAGGTAGATAGATAGATGATAGATAGATAGAGATAATGTGAAATAGATAGGTAGATGGATATAATATGAAATAGATAGATGGAGATATGGATAGATAGATAATGTGAAATAGATAGGTAGATAGATAATATGAAATAGACAGATAGATAGATATGAATGATGTGAAATAGATGGGTAGATAGATAATATGAAATAGATAGATAGAGAGATAATGTGAAATAGATAGGTAGATAGATAATATGAAATAGACAGACAGATAGATAGATAGATAATGTGAAATAGATAGGTAGATAGATAATATGAAATAGATAGATAGAGAGATAATGTGTGAATAGAGGTAGATGGATAGATAATATGAAATAGATAGATAGATAATGTGAAATAGATAGATAGATAGATAATATGAAATAGATAGATAGAGATAATGTGAAATAGATGGGTAGATGGATAATATGAAATAGATGAATGGAGAGATAATGTGAAATAGATAGGTAGATAGATAATATGAAATAGATAGATAGAGAGATAATGAGAAATAGATAGGTAGATAGATAATATGAAATAGATAGATAGAGAGATAATGTGAAATAGATAGGTAGATAGATAATATGAAATAGATAGATGGATGGATGGAGAGATAATGTGAAATGAATGGGTAGATAGATAATATGAAATAGACAGACAGATAGATAGATAGATAATGTGAAATAGATAGGTAGATAGATAATATGAAATAGATAGATAGAGAGATAATGTGAAATAGATAGGTAGATAGATAATATGAAATAGACAGACAGATAGAGATAGATAGATAGATAGATAGATAGATAGATAGATAGATAATGTGAAATAGATAGGTAGATAGATAATATGAAATAGATAGATAGATAGATATATAGATAGATAATGTGAAATAGATATACAGATAGATAATGTCAAATATGTAGATAATGGAAAGTAGATAGATAGATAGATAGATAGAAAGATAGATAGATAGATAGATAGATAATGTGAGTTAGGTAGAAAGATAGATAATGTGAAATAGATTGGTAGATAGATAATGTGAAATAGATAGATAATATGAAATAGGTAGATACTGGGAAACAGATAATGTGAAATAGATAGATAATGAGAAATAGATAGATAGATAGATAGATAGATAGATAGATAGATAGATAGATATGTATTTTATATACTGTTTGCATGTGAGAAAAATAGAGATGATTTTATATGTTGTGCGTGTGTGTGTGTGTGTGTGTGAGAGAGAGAGAGAGAGAGAGAGAAAGTGTTGTATATGTTTTGTGTGTATATGTGAGCGTGTATATTTTAGAGTGTGCGATCGAGAGAGATTTTATTTCTTTGTTTGTAAAAGCAAGTGCTTGTACACATGTATATAAGTATTGTCTTTTTAATCATTCTGCTGAAAGCGAGGCAATAAAGCCACTAATACGCCAGCGATTACTGAGTCTGAAAGAATATAAAAAAAGAGAATATTATTAAGGAGGGAGAAGAATAAAAGAACAGGAATTAAAAGACAGAATATAACGATTCATCATTTATATTTTTAAGACCAAAGTTGATCGGAAAGCAAGAAACCAGAAGAAAGTTTCACAATCGCGAAGTGGAAGGAAAGAATCCTCTATCATAGAACTTACGGCTGCATCTAGCCATTTCAACTATAAAATGATGAGAACTTGCTGCCAATCTAGTGGTTCGTTTAAATTCATAAAGTCGAGATACCAAAGAGAGATCATCATCATAGGAATCGCCATGAAAATATTCATAAAAAAAAGGCACAGGGGAGCTACGTTACGGAGGTTGGAAAGTTGCTGGAGATGAGATGCCAGGTCAGGACCGATAACACTGCAGATTTTTCCTTTGTGATGTGTGACTACACTATAGGTAGTAACTTCCTATAAGTATCTGTAAGTCAACGGACTACAGAGTTTAGCTGGGATCTGTTACTCAGATCTTAGCTGTTGTCGAACTCTCTACATTCGAGCAGAAAGGAACCTGGACGAGGCTCTGTAGACCCGAACCCGTTTATGCGGGGTCACGGGGAATTTTTGGCCGAGCCTATGGGGCTCGGATTGCCCCACATTAAATTCGGCCTTTTGCCACATCCTACCTTGTGGGGAGGCTGGTAAATATTGTCTAGCTGGGATCTATTGAGTACGACTCAGACTTACGCGAGAACTACCGACCTTCCAATAGTAGCACTCACTACTGGATTGACTTGCGATGACCTTGGGCATAACTGTTACCTTTATTCTTATTGTACTGTTTTTTACAATAAACCTTACTTATTTTATCCACCTTGTTTTTCAAGTATATATTAGCACAGAATATAACACTTTGGATAGCAGAAGCAGAAGATCTCGTGCGGGAGATATATTGGTATATTTTGTGTGCGAAAATGACAGAGAAGAAGGAATATATATAGTGTATGCGTATGTATGTCGGAGAGAGAGTCAAAGAGATATACAGATTTGTTTCTCTGTATCTATGTGTGTGAGAGAGTATATGGTGTATGAAAGAAAGTGTGTGTGAGAGAGAGAGAAAGAGAGACAGAAGGCTGTATATGTTATGTGCATGTATTTAAGAGAGAGAGAGAGAGAGAGAGAGAGAGAGAGTCCATTTTTGTTTTTATCATTTCAACCTCATCAAGCAAGGCGATAATGTCATTAGGACACATAAGTGGCTTACGGGGAATGAAAGAGAAAGAGGAAACTTTAGTGAGGAGAAATGATTCAATAAAATCCCCATTGGCTTCAACCACAGCCTCCAGATAACTTCGGAATCTCCTGCAACTCTTCTGGACAGTCTCCTGCCATAATCCTTGCTTTCAGTTCATCTTTGGTGTTACAAGAGTTTTTTTTTGGTCACTCGCACTGATGTGCACTACACATAATAATTAAGTGGGGTTGCAGCCTGGGGTGTTACGTGTCCATATGTAAGGGATGATGTGGTCGCAGAAATTGTCTGACAGCCATGACTGTGTTCTCCTGCTTGTGTGGCTTGATGCAGAATCCTGTTACCAGACATAGGGTCTTCCAGCAGCCATTCTCTTGACTCAGGGCAGCACTATTTCCTCAAGGCACTTGATGTTGGCCTCCATGTTGAGTCCGTGGCCCTGTGAGAAGATGAATGAAAGTATAACTTATTAGAACGTAATCACCATTAGACCCATCCAACTCTTTCCAAATCCTCTGCACCGAGTCTGTAGTACAGCATGCCAATTCCAAATTTCTGGCGGAGTAAATTGCATAACGGTGCTGTTTTTCTCAGACACAATGCCCAACTGACCCTACTATACTGTGCAAGAGACAAAATTAAAAACGCGCATGCGCAAAATTAAAAATATAAAATGGCGACAAATTACCCACCGCATTCTGTATATATATTTATATAAATGATTGTTTACGTTGTATGCCTGTGTATGTGAGAGAGTGTGAAAGAGAGAGTTGTTGCATCTGCTGAATGCATTAGATAGAGATATAGATACAAAGGTTTTTTTTTAAATGTTATGCGTGTATATGTGATATAGAGAAAGTGGGTTATATGGGGTTATGTGTGTGTGTGTGTGTGTTTGTGTGTGTAAGAGAGAGAGAGAGAGAGAGAGAGAGAGAGAAAGAGAAAGAGGGTAGTACATATGTATGTGTGTTTGGGAGAGAAAGAACTGTATATATCTGTGTTTGTGTGTGAAGGAGAGAGTGTGGAATTGTTATACAAAAATATGTGTATACACGAGAGAGAGAGAGAGAGAGAGAGAGAGAGAGAGATTTGTGTATATAACGCATGTGTGTGAGAAAAGGGACGTTTTATGTGTGAGAAAACGAGACATTGCGTGTGTGTGTGTGTGTGTGTAAGAGAGTGGATTATACATATGTATGTGAGTGGAGGAGAGAAAAATGGTTGATTCTACATGTGCTTGTGCATGCATAGAGAAATTGTGTGCATATGCCTGTGTGTACATGTGCGTGCACCTATTAGCCCATTGGTCAATCGGTGGACAAAGGCATTCTTTCAGTTAGCGGCCATAATAAATATATACATACTTTGAGGCCCGAGTGAGACGGTGATTAAAGCTTGTGTTTTCTTAATATTAGTATAGAATGTGCGCTCATTTTGATGTTGATTGCCTTTACTTAGCGTCATGTTTACCAAGATTTAGGAGAAGAATACTTGTGAAACAAGCCTCAGTTCTTAAAAGAATACCTTTTCTAACAAAGACAGAAGCAGCAAAACAGTTTTAGGGAGATTACCTGACACGCCAAATAAACAAGGCCGGAGAAAACACTGCTTGAAATTAGATCAAAATTACAAAAATGATGATGTCGCTAGAATATATCACGGAATAATAATAATAATAATAATAATAATAATAATAATAATAATAATTAAAATTTAATCCTAAAACATATTACAGTGAAGAATGGTGGAGAACTTATTGGTCAGAACGTTGTATGAGGGCAAAAATGATAAGGATATTAGTGTAGATAATCGGCAAAAGAACAAACAATATTTAATATACCCCATTTTCCCAACGTGATGAGATAAATGGTAACAGGAATGCTAGTTTATATTTTACGGAATTGAAATCTGATAAACAGATTTTTGTACTTAAGAGCTACCGTAGATTGCATTTTACGGAATTGAAATTTTATAACTAGGTTTTTGTACTTACAAGCTACCGTAAATTATATTTCACGGTATTGAAATCTAGAAATAGGTTTTTGTACTTAATAACTAACGTAGATTGCATTTTACGGAATTGAAATCTCACAAATAGGTTTTGTACTTAAAAATTATTTTGTGGTACTGATATTTGATAAACTGATTTTTGTACGTAAAAGCTACCGTAGATTACATTTTAAGGTAATAGAATCTTAAAAATTGATTTTTGTACGTAAAATATACCATCTTATGGTATCAAGATTAGCTAAACTGATTGTTGTACACAAAAACTACTTTAAATTACATTTTGAGTTACTAGAATAAATAGGAGTTTACTTTTCCATTTGTCATTCAATTACCCACTGTTATATATATATATATATATATATATATCATTTTCTTTATTGTCTATCTCAGTCTCTCTCTCATTCTTTCTTTTTATCTATCTATCTATCTATCTATCTATCTATCTATCTATCTATCTATCTATCTATCTATCTCTCTCTCTCTCTCACCTTTCTTTCTATCTATCTATCTATCTATCTATCTATCTATCTATCTATCTATCTATCTCAGTCTCTCTCTCACTCATTCTTTCTTTTTATCTATCTATCTATCTATCTATCTATCTATCTATCTATCTATCTATCACACGAAAAAGGATTGTTTTAGAGTAGCGGAAATTAGAACGGTTCTTCTTCTTTTTCTTCTTTGTGACATGTTCATTAAGGACGTACGTGATTTAGGCTCTCTACACCTTCCTATCTTTGTATTCTTAAATATACAATAAAAGCAATTTCAATGTTAATAACCTTCTTTATCAATCAATAATTCTCTCTACTTCGAATAGAATATCCTTCAAGTTAGGTATAATCCAAGAAAAATAACTTTTTCGAATACTGACCAATTACTTCGTCAGTACGATCAAACAGGAAGAAGTATTTCCGAAGGTAAAAACCGAAGATTGTTTCAAACTATACAAAATTACCGTTTGTGTTGCTACGTTCATCATATGCCTAATAATCCAGGCATACCGCACACTGAGTGGTTACGATGTAACGTCCGCGTTGCTCACAGATATAAAACTTCTGTTGAATAGAAGGATAAAGTCTGCAGAATGTATTTTAGGTGCAATTAGAAAAGAACGAGAAGAAGCTGGATGAGCGGAAAGTTATCTAAATAAGCCATCGGTCGAAGGAGTTGAATCAACACAAAATATGTTATTAGAAACAACATGTCATTTTAAGAAAGTTCTAACTATGGTGGGTGAATTATGAGTTAAACTATGAGATAAAGCGATGGTGGTGGAGAAAGCAGTGGCGATAGGACATCTGCTCGGCTTCGTTTTTCGCTAACTTGATATGAAAGGATGAAAAAATGGGAATTGTAAGAAGAAAAAAGAAGATATAGATATTTGAAAGCGTTATGGCGAATAAAATGAAGTCGGAAAAGAAGGGAAGAGAAAATGATTGAATAAAGCAAAAGGAAATCAGGGAAGACAAGATTAAAATGAACAAATAAAGAATTCAGAGAGAAATGGACGAATGGTGATACATATGAGAAGATAACAAATAATAACAATACTAAAAATAATAACAATACTAAAAGAAATAGAGACATCTATCTATCTATCTATCTATCTATCTATCTATCTATCTATCTATCTATCTATCTATGTCACTTCTTATGTATGTATGTATGTATCTATCTATCTATCTATCTATCTATCTATGTCACTTCTTATGTATGTATGTATGTATCTATCTATCTATCTATCTATCTATCTATCTATCTATCTATCTATGTCACTTCTTATGTATGTATGTATGTATGTATGTATGTATCTATCTATCTATCTATCTATCTATGTCACTTCTTATGTATGTATGTATGTATCTATCTATCTATCTATCTATCTATCTATCTATCTATCTATCTATCTATCTATGTCACTCCTTATCTATCTATCTATGTCACTTCTTATCTATCTATCTAACTATCTATCTATCTATCTATCTATCTATCTATCTATGTCACTTCTTATCTATCTATCTATCTATCTATCTATCTATCTATCTATCTATCTATGTCACTTCTTATCTATCTATCTATCTATCTATCTATCTATCTATCTATCTATCTATCTATCTATCTATCTAACAAAGTTCCTGGTAGGCTTACGGTTATATAACGTTGAAAAACCAGTTCTCGTACGATCACCGTCGTAAAGGAACGCCGAATCTGGTCAGTATCTAGGTGGGTGACCGCTTGGGAAAAACCGTTTTCATGTACTTCTTCATCTAAACCAACACGTTTCTCTTTTTCTTTAGTTTAATTTGGTAGTTTTTCTTTTAACCGAGTTCACCTCAAGGTGAGCAATAAAGCTACTAAGATACAAGGGGTTCTTGGGAAGAATTAGAAAACAGAAACATTACTAAGGAGCGAGAACTATAGAAGAGCACTCAGGAAGACATTAAATAACGATTGACATTGTATTTCAATTTCTGCAGATCAAAGTTGGCCGGAAAGCATGGAGTCAGAAGAGAATTCCACAAGCGAGAAGTGTGAGAATATAAACTGTTATCAAATAATTTGCAGTTATAATTAGTCAAATAAACTGTAAATTGATGAGACCTTTCCCCGCTTTAGGACTGAGTTTAATTTCATAAAGTCTAAGCACTATATCTAAGAATTCATTCGATCAGTTACCATGAAAGTATTTATAGAAAAGGCACGGGGGAGCAATTTACGACGGTGGGAAATAACTGAAGCCGAGACGCCACATCAGGACCAATAATATTGCTGATTCTTCTTTGATTTTTATCAAGGGTTTCTAAATATATAGCAGAAGCAACTGTCTATATGAGGCAACAATATTCTAAGTATGGACGAATGGTAGATCGATTCTGGAGAGAAAATTGACACAGTGAATCAACTTTCTTAGCAGCGGACTAAGCAGTGGATTCAATATAGTCTTTCTACTACATGTCAGCCGAGAGCGTTATCTCAAGAATAAATCACTCTCTTGGAGGTTAGCATCAGCCATGCTGTTAGAAGTTAGAAAGGAATCTTTCAGTTTGGTAATTTTCTTAATAATCTGCATTAATGTGTTTCGATTTGCAACATTAGCTTCTTCCAATATTTACATGCTGCTTAATCCACTTTTCTTTTAATTAGTCTTTTAAGTTTTCTCGGATCAATTTCTGTGGCATCAGTTGTGTCTCTTGTTCTTATTTTGCCAATGTTTTCAATTTCTTCTGGCGTTGTTCTGTGTTCTCTTTCGACTTCTTCGCAATTTTGCAACGCTGTGTTCCTTCCACACAATAAATTTCTTGTTTCACTTTACTTCCATACGACCTACGGACAATTTTATATATCTGACATTAATAATTAAACCATTATATATATTTGTTTACAATATGATGAACAACTTTAAGTTACAAGAATAAGAAGAATCGCCTAAAGATTGAAAGCTTCCTGATCTTTACAAAACTAGCTTACTAGCTCAATAAGAGCCAGAGACACTTTCTCTTTAAGAATGTTTTTATCATATATTCAATAATAATAATAATAATAATAATAACAGAATTAACTGTATAAAATTACTGTATAAAACCTAGTTAAAATTTTATCTAATTTTGTCTAATCTAACTTACTGGCTAACAGTAATCTTAGGACTAGAATATTTTAAATTTGGAAACAGCAGACTGTACTGCTTGGCATTTCAGAGTGTTTGGGTGTCAATCTGAAGACAGTGCAGACGATTCGGAAAGAGTTGGATGAATCTAATGGTGACTACAAAGGTACGG